TTCCCTACATATTAAAGCTGCCCACTGCACAGCCTTGATATGAAATCCATGTAACAAGTTAATCACTCAACATCTGCAACGCAGCTTCCATTTGGTGGTTTCCTTCACTGTGCCAACTGGTGGATAGTGTTTCTGAAATGTATGGAAAGAGGAGGAACCAAGATATCTTAAATATGTTTTTTTCTGCCTGTCTGTCCTGATGGACAGTATTTGACACAATGGACAAATCAAATAACTTTTCCCACTTTGTTGGTCTTTTGCCTCATGTATGCTTTAAGGATGTGTTAACATCGTTTTACATAGCTCTGTCTTTGTCATTACAGCAGGCCAATGAGGCTCTGCATCATCAGCACCAAGTAGCTGGGAACAGCCTCTTGCCTTTGCTCAATTCTGGAACAGAGCCACCTGATCAGAAGCCGGTACTCCCCATTCCCTTGGATCAGAAACCCCCTGTCAGTGCTGCAGAACTTCTTAAAGACAATGTGGCCAGTGGGACTGGAGGAGGAGGTGGCGGTGGGCCTCCAGTTGCTGTGGTCAAAAAGGAGCCTAAGTCAAAGACGCCTTTCATCTGTGGCTACTGCAACAAAGCTTTTCGGGACAGCTACCACCTGCGGCGACATGAGTCTTGCCACACTGGCATTAAGATGGTTTCACGACCTAAGAAGACGCAAACAGCCCCCACCATGGTACCACTCATATCCACTGTACCACGGGAGAATAACGGAAATCCTTCATACATTACTACTGTAGCTGGTATCCTGACAACAGCCACCACATCAGCATCCACAGGCACTAGCATAATGACCTCAATGCAACACCAACAGCAGCAGAGCATCCCTAAGAAGCCCCCCAAGCCAGTGAAAAAGAATCATGGTTGTGACATGTGTGGTAAGGCCTTCAGAGATGTGTATCACCTCAACCGGCACAAGCTGTCGCACTCTGATGAGAAGCCATTTGAGTGTCCCATCTGTCAGCAGAGGTTCAAGAGGAAAGATCGCATGACATATCATGTCCGCTCCCATGATGGTGGAGTTCACAAGCCTTACATTTGTTCTGTCTGTGGGAAGGGCTTTTCCAGGTATGTGAACATAATTTCTGAACGTTTTTTTAATGCTACGTGGAAACAGCTATTACTTTTTGAAGCAGTATTAGAGATGTTCCAAGCCAATCCAGGCATGTTTTAAAGGACTGGTGTTGACTAAAATAAAACCAATTAAATGCGGATTCTTCTTTACTTTTACCTCCATGTAAATGCTCTCCCATACTTTGGCACATTTAATTGTGTATTATTGACTACTGCCCTGGCTTCTCTTTCCTCTTTTGGAGCAGGATAGTAATTTTCCATCTCATAAAATGCAGAGCATTGCATTGTTGTTTGTAGAAAGTAGTGTACATGCCATGTGCACTACTTTTTATGTTCCATTGTGGAATTTTTAAGTGCACTATATAATGGATAGATTTACACGTTTGGACACCACTACAACATGGCGAACACACTATACAGCAGAGGTGGGGGACTCGAGTCACATGACTTGACTCAAATCAGACTTAAGTCACAAATCTGAGGATTTGGGACTTGCTTGACTGACACTGTCTTGGAATTCATGACTTGAGACTTAGACTTGAGAGAGGGGACTATTTGTCTTGGATATTGAGAAGTTAGGTTTGTTTATGAAACACAGTTGGGTGAACACAGCGAACCAGCAGAGGGTAGTGCACGTCTCAAGATGCAGCTACCATGGAGGGGTCTAGTCCAAAAATAACATTTGGATTTAAGAAAAATGTCAACTATGACAGTAGTAAGAAGAGAACAGTAGTATGCAAAGTCTGCAGTGCAAAAATCGGTGATGTGACCACCGCAACATCCAACTTCATCTGTTATTACAAAACAGACAAACACTTGAATGTGTCTTCTCAGCTAAATGTTAGTTACATTATTGGCTGGTCAGATGTTAGCTAGAAAGCTAAAGATAAAATTTAAGCTGTTAGACTTGACTTTGAATCGATTATGCATTTGGCACAAGTACCATTCTCCTGGCAACTGCCAAACCCAGACTCGTCCCTCATCACTCCAGAGAACATGTCTCCACTGCTCTAGAGTCCAGTGGTGGTGTCCTTTACACCACTGCATCTGACACTTTGCATTGCACTTGGTGATGTAAGGCTTGGTTGCAGCTGCTCACCCATTCCATTAAGCTCTCTACGCACTGTTCTTGAGCTAATCTGAAGGCCACATGAAGTTTGGAGGTTTGTAGCTGTTGACTTTGCAGAAAGTTGGCGACCTCTGTGTACTATGCGTCTCAGCATCCGCTGACCCTGCTCTCTGATTTTACGTGGCCGACCACTTCGTGGTATGTGTATGTATGTATATATGTATGGTAAATGGTCTTATACTTGTATAGCGCTTTTCTACACTTTATAGCAAAAGCGCTTTCACACTATTCGGCCATTCAACCATTCGCACTCACACATTCACACACCGGTGACATCAACGGGAGCAACTGGGGGTTCAGTATCTTACTCAAGGACACTTCGACATGTTGACTGGACAAGCCGGTCATCAAACCGCTAATACTCCGGTTCGGAAACGACCCGTTCTCCTCCGGTTAGGAAACGACCCGTTCTACCTCCTGAGCCACAGCCGCCCCCACAGTGTATATGTATGTGTATGTAAAGTACCTGGTTTTAATGCTCATCAGAACCAGTTAGCATAACTGTCTGTTAAGCTTTATTAGCAGCTCAGAGGGAACCAGTTGTGTTTGACACACGGTAAACTAGAATTGAATCGTGAGAGTCCCATCCTTATTGACACAGGCTGTAGCCTACTGGTCGTGGTACACCTTGTTAATTGATAAATAATGCTGACAGTTCTGATTGAAAACTATAAAGGTGATCAGATTAAATTACCCATGTTAGCCTATATGAATGAAGGTTCAACTGTAGTTTGTCGTTTCTGACATTGACATGGCACAAATAACGGACCCATGAAAATCCTAAGCTACTGGCACTGGTCAGCACAAATAACTTTGCATATTCAATTTTGTCCACCTCAGCCTGCTGGTGTTGTAGTGTTGTTTTTTTATGAGCAGTTACAGTAGAGTAAAGAAAGAATTGGATTTTGAAACAACATAGTTCTACCCCCAAAGTGATCTTTAGAATCAGCTTGGTGTCTCAAACACATACTGTAAGTAAAGACAGCTAAAATTGCAAGCTCTAGTTATGTTGTGTGAAGCATTATTTTCCTTTTAACTTTAAGACTTGCCTACTCTGTGAAGCATCTTGTTTGGCTTAGTTGGGTTTTGAAAGGTGAGCTTAACATAAAGAAAATTAGGTCTAGGCTTATCTAATAAACCTGAAGGGCTTTTTAGTGTGCCGCTATTTATTTGCTATAAAGTCAGAATATTTTTGTAATTATTGTGGTCAGAAATGAGATAATTTGCTGTAAAATTGCAGTGAAATCTGTGACTAGTTTGTGCAAATGAGTCTTTGTTATAAGTAAGTTAGCTGTAAGCAACAAAGGAAGACAAGAACAATTGTTCAGGATAAAGGATTCAAGTACAGTATTTGGTCAACCTGTGACCTAAGAACATGTACCCTGCTCCTGTCATCTGTATTCTGAGGGGAGAGAGATGATCAGTTTTAATGTCATAGGAGTATATTTACCAACTCTGATGTGGTCAAGATGATAACTGAAATGTTTTGTTCTAAAGTTTTGATCTGTAATGTTTAATGGCATGATGCTACTAGTAGAATTTGACTTTTTTTTTGTTTGCTTTTATCTCACCTTACAGACCTGATCACCTAAGCTGTCATGTCAAGCATGTCCATTCCTCAGAGAGGCCATTTAAGTGCCAAGTAACGGTAAGAGTCGTGACGCTGTTGCCTCTCAACATATTGCTCTCTAAGCTGATCCATGCAATCATTTTAAACTATAAAGGCCAGTTCAGATTGGACAGGATTGGCTGCCACCCAGAAGTTACTGGTAGGGTGCATAATTAGCATTAGAATGTCTTACAGTTTCTGTATATTTGACATTACACTTTTTGCTAGCTTTACAGTAGAGTTCCAGTGTAAACAGTGTCAGTGTTCTGTAGTGAACCGTTCAGTCCAGAGCTTATGGCAGAACTTAAACTTCTTATCATTCATGATCCCCATGAACTAAGCAGAGTTCATTCAGAAAAAGAGGGTAACAGTGCACATTTAGCTTAAAAACTAGAGATTCACTGACCTGCCAATTTCGATTTTCTTTTGTTCTAAAAACTGTAATTGACAGCATACATAAACATTTTGGAACTTTTCTTTATTGAAAACTTTTAATTGTAATCAAGTTTTCACTTTTCATCTTTCTCACCCTTATTTTCCAAATCTCCAACTAAAAATGAAGTGCAATATTTGTACAGTTAAGTGCAAAAGTTTGCATCCCCTTACTTTGAAATGGCAGAGTAAAACAGTTTCTTTCTCATCAACATAATATTTAATGCGCATTCAGCTAGTGCAAATGTTCCTTCATCAACAGAAGTAACAACAATGGTCAGTGTATAAAAAGTTGTAGTAAAATAATGAAAAGCAAATGATGAAAAGTGCAAAAGTTTGCAACCCCCTTTATGAAATGTTCTCTTAATACTTTGCATGTCCTCCCTAACCTCCTCCAACCTCTTTGGGTTCCCTCTGAGCAGCGTTTGGATCCTTTCTGGTGTAATTTTAGCCCATTTTTCATGACATACTTGTTCCAAGTCTACCAGATCATTTGGCTGTCTGCCATGCACGGCCCTCTTCAAATCGATCCGCAGGTTTTCGATGATATTTAAATCTGGAGACTGGGAAGGCCATGGTAAAATGTTCACCTTATTCCTTTTAAGCCATTTCTAAGTTGACTTCAACTGGTAGACTTCAACACCATTCGCCTGGGTAGGGCTGATTGGGAAGATGACATACCTCAGTGTACCAGCTCCCACTTGCAACTGGATTCTGGACTTCCTGACTGAAAGACCACAGGTAGTTAGAATGGGAGGGAGGGTGTCTGCTGAGCTCACAATCAGCACAGGCTAACTGCAAGGCTGGTGTCTCAGCCCCAAACTCTTCACCCTGTGCATCCATAACTGTGTCTCCAACCATGACAACATCATCATTATTATTAAATATGCTGATGACACCACCATTCTGGGCCTCATCAAGGGGGGAAACGAGTCAGGTTACAGAAGCTTGGTGAACAACATTCTCGTTTATGGAGTGGAGAATGACTTCATCCTCAATATAAACAAGTCAAAAGAAATTATAGTAGACTTCAGGAAGAACCCCTCCACTCTGCTGCCTCTGACTATCAAAGGGACTGAGATGGAGAGGGCTGACAGCCACAAGTTCCTGGCCCTGCAGGTGACATCTGACCTAAGCTGGTCACTGAACACAGCTGCCACAGTGAAGAAAGCCCAGCAGTCGCTAAACTTCATCAGGCGGCTCAGAAAAGCTGGGTTGAACCATCACCCTCTCACCCAGGCTTATAGAGGAGCGGCACAGAGCATCCCAGAGGAAGGCTCCTCAAAGGGTCATAAAGACTGCAGAGAGGATAACTGGGACTAAACTGTCTGCTCTATGGACACACTGTACACACAGTGCTGTCGTAAAAGGGCGGAAAACATACTCGAGAGACCCACACCACCCAGCTCACTCCCTGCTCAGACACAAAAACTGCACCTGTTTTAGTATGTCATAATCCCTCACTACCTCACCAAGTGTAACGACATATCCAACTCCACCATGTGAATTACTAAGTGTGATTGAGGTTCACTGGGAAAATACTATTACCCTATTTTTGTGTATTGCGGTTTTGTTGCCTTAATGTAACCTTTTTATTTTAAGACTAAGTGTTCTTTCTGGCTTTTGACTCCTTACCTGACTCCAAAGGAGAGCTGCACAAGAATTCCTATATGCCTAGACTGTTTATGCATACATGGCAAATAAAAATCTTGGCTTGTCTTGATTTGCATTATATTGTGTTCTTGTTGTATCTTTGTTTCCTTCACTTGCTGCTTTAAAGTAACTTAGATTTGTGATTTTACTGCCTACTTTGATTTGTTATTGCTCATCTGCTTTATATTTCACTTTATATTTCCTTTGTATTATGTAGCATTCATGTGGACGGCAAAGTAAGGATTTCGCTTGTCTTGATTTGCATTATATTGTGTTCTTGTTGTATCTTTGTTTCCTTCACTTGCTGCTTTAAAGTAACTTAGATTTGTGATTTTACTGCCTACTTTGATTTGTTATTGCTCATCTGCTTTATATTTCACTTTATATTTCCTTTGTATTATGTAGCATTCATGTGGACGGCAAAGTAAGGATTTCGTTGTATAGGGAAACACGTTTCCTAACTGTGCATATGACAAACACAAATACCTCTGACCTTTGGAGCCCAGGAACTTGAAGGACTCTACTGCTGATACAGTGCTGCCGAGTATGGTAAGGTGGGGGGGCTCTTCCTGAAGTCCATTGTCATCTCCACAGTTTTGAGCGTGTTCAGCTCTAGGTTGTTGTGACTACACCACAGTACCAGCTGTTCCACCTCCCGTCTATAGGCTGACTCATCCCCGTCTCGGATGAGACCAATGACCGTTGTGTCATCAGCAAACTTTAGGAGCTTAACAGAGGGGTCCTTTGAGATGCAGTCATTGGTGTAGTGTGAAAACAGCAGAGGGGAGAGCACATCCCTGGAGGGTGCCTGTGCTGATTGTCCGGGTGCTGGATGTGGTTTTCCCCAGCCTCACCTGCTGCTTCCTGTCTGTCAGAAAGCCAGAAAGCTGGTGTTCCACTGACAGGTGGGGGCAGGCACAGTGAGCTGGGTCAGTTTGGATTCGCGGATGTCCGGGATGATGGTGTGGAACGCTGGGCTGAAGTACACAAAGAGGGCCGGTGTGTAAGTCCCTGGGGAGTCAAGGTGTTGCAGCATTTAATGCAGTGTCATGTTGACTGTGTCATCCACTGACCTGTTTTCCCAGTAGGCAAACTGCAGGGGATCCAGCAGGGGGTTTACGATGGCCAGCACCAGTCTCTCAAAGGACTTCATGATGACGGATGTCAGGGTGACAGGTTTGTAGTTGTTCAGTCCACTGATGGAGGGTTTCTTGGATACTGGGATGATGGTGGAGCGTTTGAAGCAGGAGGGGACTTCACACAGCTTCAGTGACCTGTTGTAGATAAGTGTAAAGATGCGGGCCAGCTGACTGGCACAAGCCTGTCTGGGCCCGGAGCGTTTCTGACTTTTTTTTTTTTTTTTTTTTTTTTTTAAGAAGGCCACGCACATCCTTTTCACAGATCTTCAGGGGTCTGAGGCTGGAGGGAAGGAAGGTGATCATGGGGGGAGTAACTGCTGAGTCTGAGGTGATGTGGGTGAGGACTGGGGAGTTGTGCTTCTCAAACTTGCAGTAAAACACATTCAGGTCATCTGCCAGTTGATGGTCTTCCACAACGGGACGGTTTCCTGTAGCTACTGACGTTTTTCTGGATTCTCAACACAGACAAGGGGTCATTGGCTGAAAGCTGGTTTTTTAGAGTAGCTCCTTTTTGCTACTCTGATCTCCCTTGTCAACGTGTTCCTGGCCTGCCTGTCCACACTTCTGTAGGCCTCCTCTTTTGCATGACAAAGCTGCTTGAGTCTTGCTGTGTACCAGGGCTTGTTGTTGTTGTATGTGCAGAAGATCTTGGTGGGCACACACACATCCTCACAAAAGCTTATGTAAGATGTCACAATGTCAGTGAGTTCATCCAGGTCTGTGGACGCAGCCTCAAATACACTCCAATCTGTACAGTCAAAGCAGCACTGTAGCTCTGACTTTGCCTGCTCAGTCCATCTCTTCACTGTTTTGACCACAGGCTTCACAGTTTTAGGTTTCTGCCTATAGGTTGGTATAAGATGGACCATACAGTGATCAGAGTCCAAGGGCTGCACGGGGGACAGAGCATAGGCATCTTTTATTGCAGTGTAGCAGTGGTCCAAAGTGTTTTTGTCCCTGGTGGGACAACTGACATGTTGTCTGTATTTGGGCAGTTTGTGGGTGAGATTTGTTCTCTTAAAATCCCCTAGAACACTGAATGGGGAGTTGGGAGGTTTCATTTCCATGCTAGTTATCTGTTCAGCCAGGTGCTGTACTGTGGTGGCATGGGCCTGTAGTGTTATATACATTGACTAGAATGAATAACAAAAATAAGAGAGAATAATGTGGACTGCAGTTGATGAAGAGTCTTTAAGTTCATGTAACAAGTTCTTTTTAACACTGATACATCTTTACACCAACCTTCCTTTTATGTAGAAACAGATTCCTCTTTCTCCCATTTTCCCGGACAACTCAATTATACAATCTGCTCTGTATACCTGGAACATACTGGACAGCGTATTTGTATTGCGCTGTCCAAAACGGAGTCGCTGAGCCAGGTTTCTGTGAAACATAGAGCAGCAGAACATGAGAAGTCAGTTTGTTCAGATGACAAGGAGTCAAACCATTTTGCTGGCTAGAGGTGGAGATTCACTAGGTAGATAGACATGAGTGGCATCCAGGTCCCTCTTTGTCATAACTTGACCAGGATACCTCTGTGTTTTCGGCAGGTCCCGTACAAGAGTGCATAAAACCAAGGCAGCCATCTACAGCATCCTGTCAATTTAATTTAATAAATATTCTTTAAAGTTTTTAATCCAGTGGTGTGTCTCCTTCCTTTTTGTTGTGACCTTTGAGGAGGGACATAAATAAACTTTAAGTGAATGGACCAAAGACCAAGGAGACATGTCTAACACAGAGCATGGCGGAGAAGGTGAGCACATGGAGGTCGAAGTGGTCCCGTACAAGGTCCTGTACAAGAGTGCATATGACCAA